CCTCTCTCCAAATACGCAACACGTTGTAACTCCTCTCTCTCTCTCTCTCCAAAATCGCAGCACTTTTGAACCCCTCTCTCTCTCCTCAAATCGCAACACTTTTGAACCCCCCTCTCTCTCTCTCCTCAAATCGCAACATTTTTGAACCAGCCATGTTAGAAAACTCAAGCACACCGTATACGAATTCAAATTCGTAAAATTGCATATTTGCTATGATCTTTGTATTTCTGGCTATTTTTTTTCCTTTTTTTTTGACTTCTTTGGTGTCTGGAATTTTCGACATTTGTTGACCTAGAACAATGCCACAGTTTTGAGAATCTAGGGTTTTAGAGCTGGTAATCTGGGGTTTAAAAGGGATTTGAGAGTTCTGAAAAGCTAGGGCTAGGGTTTTCTATTCTCTGATGCTTCGTGATTTTTAACTGGGGTTTTGAGCAACTAGGGCATTGTAAATTATTTGGATTCTTGGGGGTTAGGGCACTAAAGTGTTCTGAGTATGCTCGGTTTTGAGGATCTTGGGAAATCTGTTTTTGATTGAGATTATCAATTCAGGAAGCTTCTGAAACTCGAGGCTTTTCTGAGGAAATTGGGAGTTTGGTTGACATATGTAGCACTAACGTTTAGTAGTAGTTGAAATCCGGGGTTTTCAGAAGCCAAACCATTTTCTTGTTTATTGGGCTTTTGTCAGTTTAGACATTTGTTTCGAGGGCTTGAGGTAGCTGCTACCTGTAGTTTATTCTGTTAAAAACAGAAAAACTTCTTCAAACCAAGGGTATCGAGGAATTAGGGTCGTCTATTTCCCCAGATTGCACATTACAGTAGACCTGCTTTTCTCGGGCTTTGCGATAGGGCAATCCATAACCAGTTTTTACGGTTGATTAATCTTTTGTATTGAACATATAGGGTTTTGAGAAGCCCGGGAAATGTCTGCCCCATCAATTGCAGCAACTGCAAATCCCAATCCAACAAGCCCTCCCTCTAGTCTTGCACCTGCCCTGAGGCAAAGTGCAAGAAGAAGAGCTCTAGCAGTTACAGAGAAGAAATCAAACACTGACATACTTAGAAACGGGAAAACTGTAGAAGAGGATTTGAGTCATACGATAAGAGGGGAGATGGTTATAGAACCCAAAGATTTGCAGTCAAATTCTAAATCAAAAGAAGTATTGGCAAAGAAAGGTGTGACGAATCCTTTGGTTTCTCCTAGGCGTGGCAGGAAAGTTGTTACAAAGCCTGAGACACACAAGTGGGTCAAGTTTGCTAGGATTTTCATAAAGAATTTATTTCTTTTGTTGTGTCTTTTGGGGTTGGGCAATGCTATCATGAGATGGGTCAAAAGACCTGTTCATGTTCCTTCCATGGGGGCTTTGGACTCTGAGAATCGAATAACAGAGCTCGAGAGTTTCTTGAAAACAACCACTAAGATGATGCAGGTTCAGGTGGAGGTCATGGATTTGAAGATTTCAAATGAAATTGGGAATTTGAGGAGAGAGTTTGGACAAAAAGTTGAGAACCAAGAGGCTTCATTTTCCAATGAGATAAAGAATTTAGAGAGTAGGACTGTTGGGTTAGAGGAATCACTACATAAATTTAGTGATATGGGTCTCTCTTCAAAGGAAGATATCGTGGGTATGTTAAATGATTTGTTGCAGCAGAAGGGCTTTCACGGAAATGACCAAGGTTTGGGCTTGGATGATATTAGGACTATGGCAAAAGAGATTGTTGAGAAGGAAATTGAGAAGCATGCTGCTGATGGGCTAGGCAGGGTGGACTATGCATTGGCTTCAGGAGGAGGTAAAGTGGTTAGACACTCAGAAGCTTATTATTTTGGCAAGGTTGGGAATTGGCTTCCTGTTGTCAAAGGAAGAAATGGAGTTCACGATAATGCACAGAAGATGTTGGAGCCGAGCTTTGGGGAGCCTGGTCAGTGTTTTGCACTCAAAGGAAGCCACGGGTTTGTTGAGATTAGGCTAAGGACTAGTATTGTGCCTGAGGCTGTGACTTTGGAACATGTCGCAAGGGTATTGTTTTCATACCTCTTATCTTTTTATCCTTGTGCCTCTATGTTTGCAGCATTTCATTATAGCATTTTTTGTGCTTGTCCTCGTGTATTTGAAAAGTTTTGAAATGCTAAGATATGTTTCCATTATTTTCTGCAATATGCTGTGCTTCTTGTACTAGTAATCTTGACACGAAGATTGCATATGTAATATCCTTTTGCTTTAGAGTTAGCGGCAATTTTAAAATTTGTGATATAGTTGACTGGCGTGGTCGCACACTTTTCTTGTGGTGAAGAAAAGCTACACATTAATATTGAGAAAAAGGAAGGTCAATGGTGGAATTGTCTGGAGGGTTGGTTGGTGGTGGGTGGGTGGGATGGGAAGGAGGGAGGAGGGGTCTACTCACTGAACTTGAATTCCCTTCCCCCTCTCCCCCCAAAACAAAAAAAGGTTTACACACTTCACTAGACTTCAGGCAATTTAAATTTTCTTAGTGTAATTTTATTACAACTACCAGGTTGAACCTGGGAATTATGCCCAGGTTTTACAACAGCCGGTAGTTAGCCTTGGTTAAATTCTGCAGTAGATGGCTTTCTGGAATTTGGAGAGTAACATTGTGATCTTTGTTAAAATCTGCTCAAATCATCCTTTGAATGATACCTGATGCTGCTGACTGAAAGACACTTTGGCGGTATGAACTTGTGAATTGCTTTGTCTATTGACCTCCGCAGCAAAAGTTGATTCTTCAGACTTGGGAACTACCATCAGCAGCATGTCCCATATTCTACATAGTGATAATGTTTTAATGTCGTACTTTTCACTCTTTAAGGGTTGTCTAGCAAGGCAATTGATATACTCATTGGGCCGGCTTAGTATAAATTAGGGCTATTAGTTGTGTCTCAGAGGTATGTGGAGGCCCCTTACAATCAGGCCAGCACCTGAGGTCCTGGCCTGGGTCTTTCAGTTGAGACGGACTTCCTGGTTTGCTTGTCTTTTACACGTTATAAAATACCCAAGAATTTAACTTGCATGCCTGTTGCTTTTAGGATAGCTTCATTGTTTGAAAATTTTAGGGGTGTGAAAGTTATTGTTTTCTTTTTTTTGAGGACGGACTTCTTTGAGCATTAAGAGGGTTATGCCTTTCTTTTTTCTGCAAATGGATTTGACTGTTTCTTTTCTGAGCCCAAGACCTCACAGTTTGGTTTTGCATCATTCTAGAAATCCCTCGCCCCCCCTCCCCCGCTTTTAAACATTTCACTAGACTTCAGGCAATTTAAATTTCTTACTGTAATTTTATCGCAACTACCAAGATGAACCTGGGTTTTCCAACAGCCGGTTGTTAGCCTTGAATGAATTCTCCAGTAGATGGTTTTCTGGAATTTGGAGAGTAATATTGTGATGTTTGTTGAAGTCCGCTCAAATCATCCTTTGAATGATACTTGATGCTGCTGACTGAAAAGACACTTTCGTGATATGAACTTGTGAATTGCATTGTCTATTGACCTGAATTCAAACAAATTGGAGATCCACAGCAAAAGTTGACTCTTCAGACTTGGGAACTGCCATGCAGTAGCATGTCCCGTATTCTACATAGTGATAATGTTTTAGTGCTATACTTTTCATTCTTTAAGGGTTGTCTAGCAAGGCAATTGATATACTTGTTGGGCCGGCTTAGTATAAATTGGAGCTATTAGTTGTGTCTGAGAGGTAGGACCAAAAGGACGTAGTTGGAAGTAGTCCGAAAAGATATTGGGACTTATGGCCTCACTGAAGGTATGGCCTTTAATAGAGCAGAATGGTGGGCCAGGATTCATGTAGCCAACCCCAATTAATTGGGAAAAGGTTATGATGATGATGATGATGATGATGAGTTGTGTTTGAGAGGTACGTGGAGGCCCTTACAATAAAGCCAGCACCTGAGGTCCTGGCCTGGGTCTTTCAGTTGAGATGGACTTCCTGGTTTGCTTGTCTTTTACACCTTGTAAACCTAAAATTTTAGCTTGCATGACTGTTGCTTTTAGGATGGCTTCATTGTTTGAAAATGTTAGGGGTATGAAAGTTATTGTTTTCTTTTTTTTGTGGATGGACTGAAATATTCTGTGAACATTAAGAGGGTTATGCCTTTCTTTTTTCTGCAACTTGGTTTTACTGTTTCTTTTCTGAAATCAAGAGCTCACAGTTTGGTTTTGCTTCATTCTGCATGTTCTTAAAGTTAAGCATGGATTTATGTGCTCAAAGATAAGGTTTTATGATGAACAAGCTTTTATGTTTTCTGGAGTTATAAATAATAAATGCTTTGTTTTATGGAGGAATATTAAGCCTTGCCCCCTCCCTCTCTCCCTTTAATTTTTTTATCCTGATTTTGTGAAATCATGATTGTTGCCTTTAACTTCTAATTTGAATTTAGGTAAATTACATGTAAAGAATTTCTCAAAAAATGCTGAGGTGGAAAACAGAAGGCTATGGAGCATATGAAAATGGTTGAAATAGAGGTACACTGGATTTATTTTAAGAGGAAGAAAATGCGAATTAGGGTTGTGGTTTTGGATTAACATGTAGAAATCTTCACTCAAAGGATTTGGTTTATACATCCTTTCTTAAATCGTGAAGTTGGGAGTCATCAGTGAAAATATCAAACAAACTGTTATCTGCTGTACTCATATCATAAGAAAGAGGATTGAAAGAGGATTGAAAGAGGTTGTTGCATAATACAACGGGGATTGTGTAAAGTCACAGGCCAATTTAGGTTGCTGATGGCAGCCTTAGGAAGCAGAGCATGTGAACTACGTATGAACCTGTCAAACAAGTTAGATGAGCTTTTGGAAGGAAGGAAGAACTTGGTTTAATTTTAATGAAAGTTTACCAGGCGGATTACTTATTAAAAAATAAATCATGACTTGGAAGCATACTTTGTAGGCTCTATGATGCCGTGGTGGTGTCTGAGATAAAGTATGTCATTCCTGTGTCTACATGGTTTAGTTTGAATGCATGCTGTGATGACCATGGATGGTGAATATTTACCCAAAAAAACATGGATGGTGAATAAGAAATGTTGTAAGTTGTTATGGGCAGTGCTGCTTAGAAAATTATTGTGAAGGAAGCTCCTTGATATATTTTGTGAACCATTCAATACTCACTGCATAGAACTCTGCTGATATTTTGAGGATGAAAGGAGTCTCAGGGTTTACAAATGAAGCCAAGATAAATTCTTTATGTATTGCCACATGGTTATTGACGTTAAAATAAGCATGCGAAATGATTTTGCAAATTGTGAAGGATGCACTGTTTCTTTCTGCTAGTAATGCCAAATTATCCATTAAAATTTGGTATGTAAGGATGAAAAGCACAGTTATCCTACATAAGAAGGGATTATTGAGATGTATATATTGTGTGTACTTATTTGGATATCTGGTGGGTGCATTCAGTGTTATGTTTTTCGTCATTATCTGTGTACTAAAGAGGGGGCTTTTTCTTTTTTCTTTTTTATTTCCTCATTTTGATCACTCACTTTTATATTATGGGTGTAGCTGTTCATTTCATGTGTGAGAAGCGAATTTGTGTCATTTCATGGTAGTATTGGAAACATTTTGAGTCCTATCCCAATCAGCATTTTTTGAATCTTTTTTACATATTATTGCATGTTGCAGATAAAGCAAATTAGGTATGCCTGTGCAAAGCAATAATTGTAAAAATATCACCTCCCGTAAGGATGTGAAACCACTTGGAATGCTTCTACTGACCCCAGATACAATAGGGTTTGACAATATTCACTGTGCCCATGAGATATATTGGTTTTTTTTTTTTTTTGAGAGAAGATAACTTGTATTAAGAGTAAGGAGTAAGTATACAAAAAAGGACCCCATTTACAGGGTCAAGTGACATCGTGAAAGAAAATTAGATACACAATTATGTGCAAGCTTCTGTGCATTCTTGATCTGAAAATTTGAGGCTATGACTGTGTACAAAAAGGTTTTAGGTGGAGATATATTGGTTTTTTAAAGTCATGCTTTGGAAAAATATCGTGCCTTTTTATTTTTTTATATGAGTTTTATTTTTTGCATGTATAGCACTGTAGATATAGTTCCTTAGCTCTGTGACGGTTGCAATGACTTACTTGGGATGTTTGTAACGTTCAGTGGAAAGCAATTTCTTCAATAGAGAGATTGTTAGATATGCATGAAACTTGACTTAGGTCCCAGTTCTCTTTCACCTATGAATCCTTGGGAGAGGTCAATTCTTTCGAGTTTCAGCTCTTTCAAATATCCAATGTTCAAGATTCTTCAATTTCTTTGTTGTTGAATGTCCCGTGGACCTGCCTGAAATTGTAAATGAGTATAAGTTTGTTGAGATCTGCCCATGCCTTTGCTAGAGGCATATCCATTTCTTTTGGGAATGTTTGGAAGGTCTTGGGAGCTTCTCTTGCAGTGTGGTGCTGTATACCTTTTTGGAATTCATGAAAAGTATAATCTCCTAGGATCTAGTATAAATTTTTGTCGAGCTAATTCTTTTGTCGAGCTTTTGAGCCTACAGAAACACACTAGACGCATAGGTTTAAAAACCATAACTCCGTAAGATGGAATGATTACCATTGTTAGTCTGGCATATCTGGTATGTTACACTTAAATCATGGGAAAATTATGGACTTAGCTCATTCTAGATTGATGACATCAGTTTTGTTGCCGCCTCAATATTTATCTCTTTTGTAGTCATTCACTAGATCATTCTTAGTGTTTCTATACCTTCTTCACCAGTTACATCTGTCAATACTATAGGCATCGAATGGAAACACTGAAGTCGTGATTGAACAACCCATCCATTCAAAAGGTTTTATGTCTCCCGCTAACATTTGACTGGAGTTTTGATATATTCAACATTGAGAAATTTTCATATCATGATATTGTTCTCGGCTGAAAAAGCAGTTTTTATTGGTTTTTGAGAGAATGAGTGTTGTGTGTGAGAGAGAGAGAGAGCATTGTACAGGGAACTCATGTCTAGGAAATGTGTATTTGTGAGTTCATGTAAACATGCATGTTTTGTTTATTGCAGAGTGTTGCTTATGACCGGACCAGTGCCCTAAAAGAATTTCGTATTTCGGGTTGGCCAAATGGGCGTGATGAGGACTCTTCGGTTGATCAGACAGAGAGAGTCCTCCTTTTTGGTGAGTTCAAATACGACCTCGAGAGGAGCAATGCACAAACATTTGACCTAAACCCAGCAAGCAGTGTGATCAACATTGTGAGGCTGGACTTTCTCTCTAACCATGGGAGCCCTTCTCATACGTGCATATATCGCCTAAGGGTTCACGGGTATGAGCCCGACTCCCTCATGCCACTTGCCATACAATTGTAGGGCACAACGCACACGTGATGCCTCTCTCTCTCTCTCTCTCTCTCTCTCTCTTTGTAGCTTGATATTTTGCAGTTTATGGACCTGCGTTTTGTCATGATTTTCCTGTTATGCAATGCATAATTGCCTTGGCCTCTGTAAAATGCTCTTCTCGATCCACCTTTCTCCTCTTCTCTCTTTCCTGTTTATGCCTTCATCTTTGCATTCTATTAAACTGAATTTTTGCCATGCTTTTACTGGTTCTTCGATGCGTAATTGCGTTTGCTCGCTGTACTGTGTTCTCTTGGTTTCTGCTTATGTTCTGCAATAGTTGTGTTGGCTGCTTTACCAGTTACCACCACCATACCCCCACCCCCACCCCCACCCCCACCCCCACCCCCAACCCCAACCCCAACCCCAACCCCAACCCCAACCCTCTCTCCCTCTCTCTCTTATCTACATTACCCCCTTGCTGTCTCTTGTCTGCATTTCTAAATTTTGTATTTTATGGATCTGACTTTTTCCATGATTTTTCAATTAGATGATCTCCATGGGTCCTTTATTGTGACTGTACCTCCAGTTCTCATGATTTCTCTCTCTCTATTGAAAGATTTTTTTTTTCTTTTTTTTCATGGATAAGTGAATGTATATTTCTTCTCCACAGAGATTTAGGTTTTGCCTGCATGGCTGTAGTTGGGAGTTGGGTATTCAGTCCTGCATTTCGGCTTATTTCTTGGGTTTACTCTCTCTCTCGCTCTCTCTGCAATGCCATCTATGTGTGTTTGGCAAATATCTTGTCCTTCAGGCTCCAATTCTACAAAGGAAAATTTATGAAACTTTCATGAGAGATGCAATGTTTGACATTTTTCTCATTTGGATCTATGCCAACCCATAATCAATGCGTCTTTTTATAGGTTTTTTGAATTTTAATCGGTGAGTAAAATGTTAAATAGTTCATCTCTCATAGGTATTTTTATAAATTTTCCTTATCCAAATGAGACTTTCTGGTGGCACTTCAGAGCCATAGTCTAGATTTTCATGGGACCATAAAGTCATAATTTTCTCCGGCAGGGAGAGAGAGAGAGAGAGAGAGAGAGAGAGAGAGAGTATTTTTAATCTCCCCTTTCCTGCAGAGAGAGAGGAGAGAGGAGAGAGATTTGTGTAAACTCTCCTTTCCTGCACAGAGAGAGAGAAAGGAGAGAGATTTGTGTAAACTAGCCTTTCCTGCACGGAGAGAGAGGAGAGAGATTTGTGTAAACGTTCCTTTCCTGCACAGAGAGGGAGAGAGAGAGGAGAGAGATTTGTGTAAACTCTCCTTTCCTGCAGAGAGAGAGAGAGGAGAGAGATTTGTGTAAACTCTCCTTTCCTGCACAGAGAGAGAGTAGATAGATTTGTGTAAACTCTCCTTTCCTGCACAGAGAGAGAGAGAGAGAGAGAGGAGAGAGATTTGTGTAAACTCTCCTTTCCTGCAATGTACGGCTCACACCTTAAAGCGATTGTGCCAAGTGTGTGGGAAAGGTTAAATGCAGATTAACAAGAAGGAAGAAATTTTTCTCTCTTTGATCTCTAAAGGTTATGGGTTTGAATCATTTGATTTTGTTTGCCTTCTGAATATTGAATTGGGAAAACCTGGTGAGAATGGAACTCTTACCTTCATGATCATTTCCACGTAGGGTCTGTTCTCTTGTTTAGTTTATTGTTTTCTTGTAATGAAGGAAGGAAAAAGTTTATAAAAGGATGCAACCTTATAATGTAGATCTACAGATGCACCTCAAAAATCCAGAAAAACCCCTTGATCATCTCGACATCGTGATGTATGACTATGAAAAATAAAAAGATTTCTACACGGTCCATTTTCAAGATTCTCATATGTTTATAGATCTATTTGATTATAACTATATTTGAAATTTAAAATTTTATAATTAAATATAAAAATAGATTTTGAGATAATCCTAAGAACATTTTACATCAAAATTATATACCATGATAAAATTTGAAAGTGCACTTTATCATGCATCCGTATGTCAACTGCACCAATATATATATATAATTT